TGCTCAAGACTGGTCCCACTGACATCTCCCTTCAGCACAATTCGTCCGGGCCCTAGCTCAACTTCTGAAATCGAGTAGGATCCGGACCATGGCATTTCAGCTCCTGGAGTACATCCTCCTCGAGGCCTTGTGAGCAGGCATGGGCGAAGCATCGGACTGTCAACCTTTCGCAGTGCACGGCTTCTGGCTGAAGCTTTAAGAGCGCTACCACATTGTCCTGAGACGAGATCACGTGGCCGAACAGAGGCCTCCACAAGCAAAGCACGTCAATGCTGGCCATTGACGTGCACAGCTTGGCCTCAGGAATCTGGCGGTACCATTCGTGGGCCCGCACCTGGAAGTCAACGGTGCGTATGATGTTTGACTCTATGCTACCACTCCACATGATCCTTCACAGCCACCTCAAACCTCTGGTTAGGCTCCAAGAACCGAACATCAGCAATGGTGAAGCGCTTGGCAGGATCCACAGTGAGAAGTCCAGCAATGAGGTCCTGAAGAAGAGTGAGGCCGCTTCTTGCTGAAGGCTGTGCGGAATAGTGAAGGAGATCGCTGAACCTGTGAGGATAGTATGGATTCTGCAAAAACTGTCACACAAATATCTCCGCAGGATGCATGCTGGAACCTCAAACAGCTGAGCAAGTCTAGCGCAATCCTTGACGGAATCTGTGATGAACGATGGTGGCGTGTAGTTGGCGGCTAGGATCTTCTTGTAGAGTGCGGACGTGTTGGAATCCTTGCGCGTGCTCAACACAATCGTTCGAATGCAAAACAAGATGTGTTAACAGACTACCACCATCCCCTCCTCAAATGGGAGGAAGCCACACACCATAGCCTTGCTACTTGAAGAGCTTGTGCTGATGTAAATGCCAGGTCAGCACAGATGTTGGACTGCCCAAGGCTGCGGCAAAGAGGATGACGCCACAACTCCACAAATCGCACATCTGTGGCACGTAGCCTTCTCAGATTTCGCGGAGGCGGCAATAACATGGCTGCATCCCCGTAAGAACAGCAGAGCTCAGTAGGAAGCTCTGCCCTGACACCATTTCAGGTGGTGCGTAGCCTCAGGCGTGCCAATGCTGAGGAGAAGGTAGAGGAGACAGTACCGAGACTGGTGCAGGGAGAACCGCAGGCCGTCTTCAGAAGCTGGTTGTCGTCGAAGCGCTGCGCAATACAGTAAGGTATAGGGATGCATCAGTTGACATTTTTCAACATGATATGGCAGCATGATCCATCGGGCTCCACACATTACTCAGCCCGAAGTCCACAATCTTTATGCACTTGTGCCTTGTGCGGAGGCTTCATTTTGGACTGGCCCTTCAAGTAATGCCTGATGGACGAATGTATGAGGTTGTTGCTCGTCGAGGAGGAGATTCTCCGGCTTCAGGTCCTCAACAACTGCAGCATACCAAATCATTCTTTTTCTGTCAGCTCTCGTGCCATGGGGGGCCCTGTTCTCAGTCTGCTGAGCACAATGCTCCAGAGCAGGCAATGCAAGTGTGTAGAAAAATATGAAAGTTCCCGGCGCGATGTACGACGTTCATCGCGTGGATCTGCTCGACCTTGCATAGCATTCTCTAGGGATATCCACGGCAGCAGTGCGGCCCTGGGTCTGCGGCACCAGCGATGATCTGGTGGAAGAAGCGACAAGCCTCTGGTTCCTTGCGCAAACAGTCTGTCTTGGTGCAAGATTGGGCAAGCACCGTCTGAGGCAAGGCACAGGGACTCGTTGATTCTGGACGATGTAGTCAAAGAGCTCTCCGCCAGATGCGTACTCCATGATCAAGTATAGCCTGCTAGCATGTGGCCCGAGAGCCCAAAGTATCCAACAAAAGTTTGGCAGAGAGGACGGGACCCTGAAATGGGCTTTGCCGAGACCTTTCAGACTACCTGGGGCTCAGGCTGTCCGCGAGTCTCGATAATCTCGAAAAGCTGCACGACATGTGGATGCCTGCTTTCACACACGCCGACCCCAACTCACACAACAACGACCATGACCTTCGAGAGCACTGACCAGTCTCCGCTTCTATATACACATCTAAAGTTTGCTTGTTGATGCAGATGGAACATGTTTACAGCACATGTATATGTATGTTGCACATGAATGCGCTATCTTACCTTTGCCGTGGACTGACTGATTTTGTGCCTGATCAGTTTTAGAAGTTGAACTTCGCGAGCCACGCGCTCGATATCAGCCACCTGTGCAGGGCAACGCAATATGTTTTTGCAGGGCCCTCTGCAAGGAAGTTCTGTGAGTCGCCAGCCTCCTGGATGCGGTCTTTCTCCAGGACTTTGACAGCAACCCTCTCCCCAGTGAGGATGTGTCTGGAACAGGAGGCTACTGCATGAGTACATTGTTACGGGAGTCACGTAAAGGAAAAAATCATGAACAAGCTGAAAGTGCTTGGCATTGTCTCAAAATGGGCCAATGGCTAACACAAAGCTAAATGAAACGAACTCATGACACTTGTTTGGGTGACTCCTTGCCTGCCGAGCTTCACCTTGCCGAAGGTTCCCTCGCCTCAATCCCAATCATGGCTTCGTTTCGGGAGGTTTTCAACTGAAGGACTCTACTGACTCTACTAACTTTTTGGTTTTTAAAGACACATGCAGGCAGCCCTGTAGCCACAATCATGAGCTAACTGCAGATGCCATTCCGCAGCAGCAGGAGTTGCAGCTGGGACTCGGGCCGATTGTACGGCCAAGGATGTAATGGCCTTTGCCGTACAAAGAGTTTGTACAGAGCGTTGTGATTGCCATCAAACTTCTTTCTTCTGGCATTCTTGCTCAGACTATTGACGCGCATTGGGTTGCCGTTCATCGCTTCTCCCGTAGCATGAGTCCTGTCTCACTATACCAACCAAACTCCCCAAAGCCGAGAATCCTCGAACAAGGTAGAGCCATCCTGCAATTCCACTCATCAACGCCGTCTCCATTATTCGGGCATTCACTTGGAGTTAGGTCCATACATTTAAGGGCTCATAATTAGCACATTGAGGCCAGGGCCCAGGTTCTTGTTGCTGACGGCATGTGGGCTGCGCCTGGCTCGGAACATCTGAAAACGAAGACAGCGAAGACCGTGCATATTCTCTTTGGCCCTGGCTGTGGCAGTGATGAGGAGGCAACCTAAGTCGCCATGTCCTTGAGGCATTCAAAAGAGCTGTGAAGCAGTGAGCTCCAGACTCCCTGGGCTGCAGCGCGAGCGCTTTGCGCTGGAGAGTAGTGAACAGGGGCTACCTCAAAGATCCACGTAAAAAGACTAGTGGGATTAATGAGCAGGGTCATCCCTCATGATGTATGATGTGCAGTCTTGTCTCCGGAAGCTACGACTGAGATCGCAGCCGTCTTCATTGGCACCACATTGGCCTGCCCAAAAACTCAGCTGCCATGATTAGATTGCAAGCCTGCATGCAAGAACCGCTCTGCGAACCCCAGCCTGTTGAGGATGCGGTGAACCATGTGTAGTGGCTGCAGCATGTGCATGCACCGCATGCGTATGGGCCGAGTGGTGGGCATGTGCAGCATGAGCTGCATGGACGCTGTGTGTTGCATGAGCCGAATGAGCAGGGGCTTGACGCACCGCTATGGGGACTGGCACATGGCTCACCTGGCAGAAAGATCAGATCCACATGCAATTCGACTGGAGGAGATAAGCCGCATGTTGAGTGCCGAGCAGGCGACACAGGGCGTCGTATAGCGATTGGTGATGCCAGGCCTGAAGCATGGCGCATAGCGACAGCTTCAAACTTTCAGGCTCCTAAGGCTCCTGAGGCTGTTGCAAGCCATGGCAACAGTCGGACCTTCTCCCTTTTCCCGTCCAACTTGATCCAATTGCTTGTGTGATAACACACATACCATGGGCGACAAGGGTATGTGCAGGGATGGTGGAGCATTATTTCAAAGCATTCAGCCATGCTGCAAATCGCCTTTTGCCCTCTGAGCCTTGACAGTTCCTGATGGAAACCCATCCCAGCCGAATTCCTGAAACAGACAGGAGGATGGGATTTCTCGACGTCCCTTCCCCAAGTCCTTCGCGTTGTGAGCCTGTTGGTAGTGAGCAGTCTTTCTA